CGTGAAGTTTAGAAATACTGTACTATGTTGTTGTACGTCAAGACATGAAGTTTAGAAATACTGTACTATGTTGTTGTACGTCAAGGTGTGAAGTTTAGAAATTCTGTACTATGTTTTTGTACGTCAAGACATGAAGTTTAGAAATACTGTAGGCCTACTATGTTGTTGTACTTCAAGGCGTGAAGTTTAGAAATACTGTACTATGTTGTACATCAAGGCGTGAAGTTTAGAAATACTGTACTATGTTGTTGTACATCAAGGTGTGAAGTTCAGAAATACTGTACCGGTACTATGTTGTTGTGCATCAGGTGTGAAGTTTAGAAATACTGTACTATGTTGTTGTACATCATTTATTTTTGGCGATGAAATGCCGATAATGTTAAAAAAAAGTATGATTCCAGTTATGAGATGTTTGTATGGTACGAGAGTATGAGTTATCAATTATTTTCCTGTAAACTATAATTACTGTAACTGTAAGTTACGTGTTTAAAAATGTATACATTATGTTGTTTTTTTTTAAAGTCTGTCTGTTGTTAATTTAAATACATTACAATGTGATAATTTAATAAAATTTGAGTTTAAAAACAATTTATCCTGAGATGATTTACAACGTATTATATAGTATACCTATACTGTATTTATTCTTCAACTAAGATTTCAAGACAAAAGGAATAGCATTTTTTAAAAAAAGGATAAGGTTTTTAAAGCATGAATTAATTCTATGTTACATATACATAGGATATATTTGACAAAAGATTGTGTTATTCATACAATGTGTCCACAAATGACAGAACAATGGCTGGAGATAGATGGTCAAACTCCAGAATGAGAAGGAATGCCTAGGCTAATTTCTTCCTCCACATACTGGTCGCACTCATTGATTTTCAATATTGATTTTTAATGAAGCATTTTCATGGCATCTTTACTGTTGAAATAAAATAGTTGATGAAAACTAATCCTGTTATAGGTTTATCCTACTGCATTATAACTTGACGAAAGGTAGAATGATTGGTATGATTGGTATAATGATTGTTACAGGTTACACATGTTTAGGTTCTTATGTCTATTTAATTTGATAATATATTTATTTAATTAATTTGATAATGTATTTATTTAATTAATTTGATAATATATTTATTTAATTAATTTGATAATATATTTATTTAATTAATTTGATATATTTATTTAATTAATTTGATAATATATTTATTTAATTAATTTGATAATATATTTATTTAATTAATTTGATAATATATTTATTTAATTAATTTGATAATATATTTATTTAATTAATTTGATAATACATTTATTTAATTAATTTGATAATACATTTATTTAATTAATTTGAATATGTAGGTGTTGTTTTGTGAAATATTTATAAAAAATCGCTTTGACTCTCCTCAAGGATGAAACCCAGATAAATAAAAAATGGGATTTCTATAATTAAATATTTTCAAAACTGTTATCCGATAGCGGAGAAAATAACAAGACCCGTTTAAAAAGTTAAAACTTTATTTCCAGACCTAATTGTGACCAGGTATATTTAGTGTAATGAACAATCTGACAAATTTCTAATAAATACACTTTTTCTGAAACATCAATTAAATTTTTATTAATATAAAGGGTTGCCTCTTTTGCATGGCCCTATCCAAGGGCAACACAGGGTGAAGGGGCACATCGTTTGGGAACCAATGAGCTCGCTGAACAGCTGTGACATCTTGTGACCCATTTTTTACCGTCATAATTGTGTATAAATAAATAGATATTGTACATACACATTACTGTGTAAAAAAAAAAGGTGGTGGGGGGGGGGGAAAGATGGTAGTTTACAGAAGCATGTGCGAAACAGGGGGGGGGTGTGTGTTTGTGTTAATTTTTGGC